TTTTTTTTGTGCGGCACCGTATATTTCTTTGCAACCGATTTGACACTAGTGACTGGCAGCAAAAACTGGACAACTGAGTACATACTTATTTTGCTTTTTTTCTTCCTTTAATTTGCAACATCTTTGAGAGAATGCACCAGGTTTAAACCGCTGTGGAAAATTAGTATCAATCTCTTAATTTTAGCTCACCTTCTGAAGCAGTTACCAATGAAACCTACAACACAAAGTTTGTGAGAGAGAAACATTTCAGGGTGTAAAATAACCTCAAACTATAACTTCATGAAGACCACTTTTCCTCCATTGGAACTCTGAACATGAAATTAAGCACAGGCACAGATGTCCCTGCTCTGTGTCAACCCTTTACGCTGTTGAGATCTATTGGAAAAAGATCCACACATATGCCGTACACAGCTGCTCTGTTGAAAGTTAATACATGAATCATTTCTCTTGCAGGGAGAGACTGTTCAGGACAAAACCTACAACAACTGAGCGCCAATGAACCTGCACCATTGGAAGACAGCACTCCTGATCCTGCAGCTGTTGCAGTTGATGATGTAGCTAAATAAAGGGAAAACACTAAATAGAAGACATGACAAGAACTCATGTTTCTTCCTGTCTAGAAATAAAGACCTCATCTATGGAGGACCACAGAGCCACACACACACACCGAAAAATAGTGTTTTTATTTTAAAATCAATTATTAAATAATAAATAACTTTATTAACATTTGAATAAGTAAAATAATGAATAAATGAATCTGTAAATGAATTTACAAATGCATAATTTATTGTACAATTCATTATTTAAGCAAAAAAAGTCTTTACTTTGATGCGCGTGGCTCTTGTGGTCCTCCATATGTTAGCATGTTACCGTCAACAGGTGGTTATAGGCTGAGTCTACAGGCGCACACTCGGAGGATCAACTCTACATTTCACTGTAGGGCCCCTTCATTTTTCACAAATCCGTGTCGTGCAGAATGTAAATACATAGGCTGAATGGCCTTTGTACAAGCACACACACTTCTTAGCAGGGCAAAGCTGTGAGCAGCCAGCCAGCCTCTGTCCAACCTATCGGAAATCTTTTTACATCGCGCCACATGGCTAATTTGCATGGCTTCGGGATTTCAGAAACAAGATAGCTAATCCAACATCTGATCTGATCCACTAGTTAATCTCAAAGCTAATCCAGTAGCTAATATAATAGCTAATCCGTGAGCAACAGGAAAGGGAAATGGATTTTCAAATGAGGACTTGAATCGCCATTTTAAAAGTCACTAATACATTTTTGATTTTTGAATCAATTTACTTATTTCACTTTTTAAAATTGTTTTAAATACGATTTTGAAAATCTATTTTTTAATTTGGAATTCGAAAATGGTTTTTAAAATGAGGTTTTTATTTAGAGTTTAACTCTTTTTTTGTGAAATTCATTTGAAATATTTATTGATGGATTAATAATTCATTTTGAAAAATTGATTTAAAAATAGTGTTTTTTTGTTTTAAATTAAATTATTAAATAATAAATGAGTAATTTTTGAATAAATAAAATAATTTAAAAACTGAATTCATAAATGAATTTACAAATCCATAATTTATTGTACAATTCATTTTTTAAACAGAATTGTTTATTTCGATGTGCGTGGCTCTTGTGGTCTTCCATATCGAACAACCAGCAAGTTGCACACAGACAACACCTTTATTTCAACAAAAAATTTTGAGTCTTTCATGTTCCTCTATGAATAACCATGCTGGATGCATCTGGATGCTTTGAAGTTTTAAAAATCAGATCATCTATCTCACAAGAGCTGAATGCCTGATGAAAACCTGATGAAAGGCTTTCATGTAAACAGCAGGGGTTCAAAATCAAAGATAATGTAATAATATAATATAATATAAATATATATATATGTATATATAATTTAATACTTCTTGCCACGCAGAGAAAATCTGATTCATGTTACAGCTTGAAACATGACACAGCGTTACAAAATTTGCAGCAGACAAAAAGTCTGCCATCGTCATTTACCCGCCTTGACTTGTCATTAGATGAAGCTGAAATCTAAATTTTACATTTGACGTTTACATCTAAATTATTTAGCTGTAACAAAACAGGAATACAATGTAGGACTCAAATGTAGGACTCGTGATTCAAAATATTGTGACGTTATAAACCGATCTGGGTGGGATGAGCTGAAAAATTAGGAGAGGAAATAAAATATTCAGTTAGTTGAACTGGTTGAAATTCAGTATTTCCTGCAAGAAACGTAATAACAAGCGGTCAAAGCTGTCATCATGATATCAAGGGCCAGATTAGGCCGAGATGTCAGTGTGACGATGCATTTGCAAAATTGCACCCATGCAAGTGGAAAATTCTTTTGTTGATCTATTAACAGTGCACTGATTTCCATGCAAAGATGCAGTCAGTACATCTTAATGATTACCTGACCTGAGTGGATTAGCGGCTCAGAAATAAGCACACAGTGAGAGACTGTGAGTGACAGCTCTGCAACATCACAGATCACTTTTGTGCAGTTTCTTTTTCTTTTTTTTTCGCAGATCGGTTGTATGCAAGTCTCTTTCAAAGAGGCTGCTATTAGTGGGACTCAGAAAGATCAAGTGCATTAGATTGACAGACTTACCCCATATACGCAACATTCATCAGAGAGCAGATGAGAGAGATGGCACCAAAGTTAAAGAGAGGCGGAAATTACACCTCAAACATGCACGCGCATGTGTGTGCGTGACGGATTCGCTAATTAAACACATAGCAATGCACTTCTGGTTCTGTGCAAGCAGACTCCAATCAAGACACAGGTTATAGTAGAGCCTATGATACCTTTTGGTGGATCAGGTTGTCGGTCAACCCACTGAGACTGATTTGAGTATGTCAGCAACAATATGTCAGCAATCAGGCTTAATGTGAAGTGTAATCAGATTGCAATCAGAGTACCTGTAGCTGCTTTAAAAACAGAATTTAATAATATATTTAGTTGAGTTTTAAAAGCTTAAAGTCATTTTAGTCTCATCTTCACTCATACTATATATTCACATTAAGAAGGAGCATTAATCCACAGCTGCACAAACCACCCAAAAGAAGAAAAAAACACAGCTTAATGTTAAATAAAAGAGATCAAACATCCAGCTACGAGTGAATAAACACTGATGAGGAGTCCTTTGTGCTCCTGAAATGACTGGTACCACCTGTAGCAAAGCTTCCACCACCATCAGCACAATCAGGTTTAGAGTACACTGCAGACGGGCCTTGATCGATACTGGGATGCTCAGCTTTGGTTTCATTATTCTAAAAATGCAGCGCTTTGAATCTTTAGATATCATTAAATTCTGGTACCGGTGTGTGTTTTTCTGTAGTTTTGGGGCCCGATTTGATTATTTTACCATTCTAGTGTTAAACTTTTTTGAATTCTTTCTGCAAGAGTTATTAATTGGGGCAAAAATGGGAGCAAAATACACAAAATACCGCTT